TATTTTAAACGAAAAAATAACATGTGCCACGTATGTAGTTGCAATATGAAGTCAAAGATGTTGGTATACAAATAACAAGGTATGTGTTATATTTGTTCAATAACATATTAATTAAATTTAATATTATACGTTGCCACCAAAAGTTGTAACGATCAACCGAAACTAATAAAGATATCAATAACTTTGCAGCACACAAATACTGATCCACCAAAAAACACCGAGCAAGGGAAAATCCTTTAAGAAACTTGATGCATAAATTCAAACGTAAAGACCATGAACGTTCAACTTTTAATGTAATGTTTTACTTTCCCCTTCTGTCTCACGTTGTCTCCTGTTTTTCTCTTAGGAATTTCTCCTACACATAATTTTTGTGTATTCAGAGAGAGATGCTTTTTGCAATGCAAGGCTTTTTGTGGAGCGTTTATTCCACGGTTCCACTGTGTTAAAACGGCGTGAAAATGAGATCACGTAGAAAATGCCTACAGTAGTTTTGATTTTCAGGAAGCGGTGGTCACTGTGATAGTATTTTTAACAATTCGGTTATTTGCTTCATTGTGGCGAACGTTTGAAAGCAGTTGTTACTTTGGAGTGTTCGTTGCACGGAAAAATTAAATTTGTATTGATTGCATTCCGACTGCAGGATTATTTATAAGGATAAATATAAAAAAAACACTAACCCCATGGGCGCTCCCGAACAGATGAACCGATTTCAATGCGTTTTTTTTATTTTGTTTAAAAATTAGTTTCATTAGGACGGTTCGTTTTTTTGTTGATAATCATGTTAGCCATTTTTAACTTTAAAGCCTTTGTCTGTCAGTGTATTCGTCTGTGGCACCGCAGCTCGCAAATGACCTCATTTCTCTGAGTGTTTTTTAAGTAAGAGGGTGGTTTGATGAATAATATGGTTCGCATAGTTTTGAGGAGTGTAATAAAAAAAGTAATAACTGCATAAGCAGACTTCAAGTAGGGTTCCCATTGATTAGGCTTCTATAACTTCATGTCATTCTGTTAGTAATTCTTCGTTTAGAAATTAATTGAATGGTGGGTAATTTTTTAAAATTAAGAAAAATGCAATTTGTGGTGTGAGTCATTTCTTGTATGTAATATATATACAGTGTCATTAAAAAAAGTTGATGTCGTAGACAAATAAAAAAATTATAGCATGTCAAAACACATGTATCATGTAACGGTTATCATAAATAAAAGTTATCAATATCAATTTTTTTAAATTTTCCAAAGAAGCGGGATTTGTTGGGCTGTACTTCAAAGACGGGAGAAGTCCTGTCGAAATAACCTTCGATCAACTTTTATTGTAGTGCGTATATGCATTTTTTTACTTCCTGAGCGTAAACCTAAGTATAGTAAGCGAGTCCATCCGATGAATGGCCACTTTTATGTTTTCTTGAGGTTTCATGGCCCCTACAGTATCAAAAAAGGAGTCTCCAATTTCCGTTTGTCTGTGTGGCGCCTATGTCCATTTATATTTGACCCATAAGCTTCGAAACTAGCGGATCAATTGCGTCAAATTTTGTATGTATGTTAGAAATTTCATGTAGATGATTAAACGCTAACCAAAATTTGTCTACCAACAAGGTGGTGCCATTCCCTCAAAATTTAGTTTTAATCACAATTACTTTACAAAAATGATTCTGCAATATTCGCTGCGTGTTGTATATAGCATAACCGATACCACGCGCGCATGCGAACAATCGCGTTGTAGCTTACTTGGATTGCGGCATGAGGAGGTGACTAATCTCTGTTTTCCAAGCGTTCGCAGAAGATTTGCACTAGTGAGTTCGAATCTCATTCACATCCTCGTTACATCTTTTTTTTTTTAATCAAATCACGTTCACTCCATTTACTCAAAAATTACAGTAGTGTCACCCCGCCAATAATTTTTATTACACTAACAGTTCCCCACGTAAAATAATTTTCAGACCGTTTTGCTGTATTAACTATTAATCAGTCCACTCCTCTGGTTTAAGGAGACAAAAATCAATCAACTTTCATTTTCTTTTATGCGGCTGCTGATGCTTGTACGTGAGTAGTAGAATTCTTTCGAAGTATAAACATAAATTCTCTAAGCTAACCATCTTACTAAGTTCATTTTCTCGTTGGTTATATACATGAGAAAGTAGTCTGCAAGAATCGGCGAGGAAAGAAAGGAAATCAGGAGTTAAATGGTAAGTGTTGCTATAAGTATAAGGCTTTAAGTATCGGTCTATCTTATTTCTTCAGTTCTTTTAATCTAAAGTGATATAACAATACGGATGTTAAGGGAGAAGTAGTTGTATGGTACAAACGAATTAACAAATTAATAAATATGTTTGCTTCAATAAGAACTCAAACGTTTTTATCAATGTTAATTATTTAAAAATTGAAAACATTTTTATATTTGGGACATACTTAACTACAACTACACAAAGTTCACTAATAAATCAACAAAACGTTTCAGACTATCATTTTAATCGGAAACAGTGGACTTCAATTATTGAGTTTATTGGAAAGTGATTACTGAAGTTTCGTTAAATTAACTTTAGAATATTCTTAATTTCCAAATGTAGTGTAGCAGGGTTATTGACGTGACAACGTCTTATAAATCGATGGAGCCGGCTGCACGCACGAAAAAGCATGACTCATGCGGCGTTACCTCGCTCTGAGGCGTCCCATGTAAGGCTTGAAGTGCAAGCGAGAACGCGGAACGAGCGACAAAGAGGCACAATCGGCCTTCGCGTTCGGCAGCGTTCGCCATCCGTCTCTCTCCTACTTGAGTGAGCGATGCGTCTGCGTGGACAGCTGCTATATTATAGTACATTGACATGTTTTGGTCGAGTATCAAGTGCAGTGAAAAGTGAATGTAGTGTCAATGTTTTCAAGACACATTAAACTAAAAAAATTGACATAATTGTATTTATGCGTATAAATAAATCTAACTTGATCAATTTCATTGTGATTTCTAATTACCTCCTTCTCTATATACATACAAATCTATTAAACAAATGAAATTAAAATTTTCTTTTGAAAAATGCTACCATTCCATCAGTATTTTCTTAAGACGTTGTCACGTTCAACTATCGTCAGTAAACCGACTTTACAGACAACCGATTTTTTTTATTAAAATTTAATTACTTGTTTTCTGGACATTCCGTTTATCTGTTTGTTAGCAAATTTTTAGGCAAATATTCTCCGAAACTCTTTTTTTTAGTGTACTTTGAGTCTGTTATGTAGATTTTTTTCTATTAATCTTCACCAAGAATCGCGTGATGTAAATGTAAAATTTTGCTTAGAATTTATATTGTGATTTGAAAACATTTTTTGATTAGTATTTTTAAATCTTGTTTACCTACTTATTAAACCTGTGCAATCTTGAATTGCATCGTTATTAAAAATTAGTATGTATAAAGTTGATTTTAACTTCCATAGTATTTTTCTTTGTATACACAAAAATTTGTTGTGTTTTTTGTTGCTGTGGGTTCGTAAATGAAGATGAGGGGATTCGCTAAATTGTAGCAGAAGACGAAACCTAAAGGTTAGAATTTTGCACTCATTTTAAATTAAGTGTTATATTTTAACATTTTTTTATTTTTTATGAAGTCTACTTTGATCGATAATTTTGTGACGCGTAATAGATGATTTCCGTTGGAAATATCAAGGATGAAGAAAACTCTTCCTTTGACATAGCTCTCTAAAAACTCTAATTTTGTTAAATTAGAAAATTGGAATAACCTTGAAATGTTGCCGACTTTTAATGAGGAATGTCATAAATCAAATAAATATTCATTACAAAAAAACAATCAAAATATCAAAATTCCATTAAAAAAATAAGTTGTGCATGGCTTCTCAAATACTGTTTATAATTTCATCAAAAGCAAATTGTTTAAACAAAAATGAATCGCATTCGATGCCACAGTCCGCCTCAATGAGCGAAATTAGTATAGTATAAGTTTATTAATGATTTTCTGAAAAGTGTAACTATTTCGTCATCATGTTAATTTTGCTATATTGTTTGTAAATTCACGGATTGAATTATGACTGTTCATAAAATAAAACGTGGCGGCGATTAACTTTTCATTTACTGCATTTACACTAATCTTAAAAAAGTGTTGAAAGAAGGAATAGTGAGAATTGTGATTTATTCTAGAATTATTGTACATATGATGTAATCTTGATGATCTCATTTTGATTTGGTCATTAACTAGAAATAATGCATAATTTAATAATGTAAATTCATTGTTGTTCGAAATTGTTGACACAATGTGGCATAATTTAACATCATATATAATCTTTGTTGTTTAAAGATGTTACCACAGCGTGGCGTAATGGAAATGTGTTTGCTTTGCAGTTTCAGAAATTCATTTAATTAACTATTACCTATCATCAGAACTTCGTACAAATTTTAGAGGAATGCGGTCACTAGTATAAAAGGAATATCCACCTAGCACTTGCCAGAACTTTTTAATCAACAATACCTAAATGACCGAGTTGAAGGTTCAAACTAAATTTTGGTGGGATGTTTGGGTTATCACAGTATTGTGTATTCTGGCTCAATTTTATAGATACGTAAAAATATATAGTCTTGTTTATCTGCACTTCAAAAACAGGATAGATATTATATAATTGACACTATTTTTAGGTTACGCTATTGAAGAATAATTAATGAGTAATGACATATCGAGAAACGGTTCTTCTTGGCTTACCCTGGATATAATTGATTTATGTATTAAAAATTCGTTGTTGCGTGTCACGACAAAAAAACTTTATTTGTGTTAAATTTTACACGTGTAAATAGAACCGGTATGCTTAATTAAGCTTTATTAAAGCTTGAGCCATTTTGGTAATTACTCAAGCAAATACTGTGCAAGATATTATCCCCTCTCAAGAATAATATTTCTTGTGCCTGTCAGTCGCAGTTGTGTATGTGAAAGGAAAAATCATAAGATAAAACGGAATATCAGCAGGATAAATTTGGAAATGATTGATGAAATAAGTCTTGTACTCACCGTATGTTCGATTATTCTATCTTTATCATTAAGCTCCTGATCGACATATTTAATCAAACGAAAAATCACCTGCAAGAGCGTAGCGAAAAACAGATTCTTATGAATCGTTGTTCGATTATTTTTTAAAACCCTAAAAAGTATTTCATTATTTGAATTATTCTTCTATAAAAGAATTACCTGTATTGGAAAAATATCAAAAGCGAGATGATCAGTGACACTAAAGAAAAGGATAATCCAACCATCTCAATTGTCCTTGTTGTTCTTATGATCTAAAAGGATGAATTATTGAAATTATTAAAAAGTAGATGCTCATTTACTCGCTGTGCATTGAATCAATCACATATTTTTAATGAGGGATTTTGAGAAGAAAATATTAACCTGCGGACACTCTTTGATTTGGTCGCACATTTTCATAATATCGATTAATTGAGATGGTAAACATCTTTCGTAATGTGTGTAACCTTTCTCTCTATCTTCACCTTCCCAGTTTCCATCATCCCTGCAAAGTCTGTACGCTACACCTGCAAAGAGCAGTGGATTTGTAAAGTGCTAAATGGCTACGTGGTGAAAATACCTCCATCAATTACTCCTTTCACGTACGGACAGGGCAGTGTAGCGTTTTGCCCAGGAGGTGTAGCAGGCCAGCAGAGGTAGTTATCGAAAATAACTGGACACCAGGCTGAAACCAGACAAATTATATTTAGCTGTTATTATGAATTTATTCTTTAGATATTGAAAAATAAACCCGAGAGTGTAGGTATAATGTATCAAATATTAGTACGATGGATTTATGTTTATTATCTTTTAAATTGATCTTGTGTAACCATCAGGTTATCGGATATTTATGCCGAAGGATAAAGGTTCGACGTAGGCTGAAATATAATATACAGTTACGCACCAAAAGTTGCACGATTTTAACTAAGCTTACGCGACGAGCTTTTATTTTCATTGTTGAATGAGTTGTTTAGAAAAGCAGAAAATTCTTTTACATTTCAGTACATTCATTCTGTTCAAAATGCAGCAAATTACAAAAAGTTGGTGTAAACAATCAATTCAACTAACAAAATTTTGACAAAATTATGTTCTTATAGACAGCTTTTACATACGAATGTTCGCGGCAAGTATAGAAAGAGTATATACAAGATAGTGCAAATCTGTGATTTTTTCCGTATCTGTGTTGTCAATTGATCATCTGTAATGCTTATGAGTATTCTTTGACAGATAATCTCATTCTCAAAATAGCAAACCATGCTTTGAAATTTTAGGTTTTATATTATCTTGAAGATTCCCTTGCCACGGTCTATTCATCTCCCCCAAGAAAATGATGACGTCATCTCAAAATGTTTATTGTACTTTTCACGCTTATAGTTACATTAATATCTGAAAAAAGCAAACAGTTATTGTGAGTGCGGAAGAATCATCAGTTTGAAAAATATAAATAAATAAAACAATCTAGTTTGAAAAAGAAGTTTGGCTTTTGTCGACAATGAAAATAAAATTTTATGACCGACTGTACTATAAATATTTATAATAAGAATTTTCTTTTCTTGAACTAGCTTAGTAGGTAGATATTTTTATACCTTGATTTCCATATTACTTAAACTAAAATTGCATTTACCATTTTAATGGTGAATAAAACTGAAGTTATAAGTTTCAATTTATTGTTTTTTCATTAAATGTCAGTAGGAGATATTTATGTATTCAGCATTTTTTAAATTTTACTGAAGTAATATTTACTGAGTAAGTAAATAAATATTCATTTCAAAAAAATAATTGCATGTTAAAATATAATGCTACAGACTCTAATAATATCCATCCTTCAGCCATTAGTATCATAACATCTTTTCTTAAAAATCGTTCCCAACGAGTCACTACTGAAAATTCTGATTCTGATTTTTTACCAATAAATAGTGGGGTGCCTCAAGGGTCTATCCTAGGTCCATTCTTATTTCTAGTTTTTGTGAATGATTTGCCTGCTTCTTTGAACAACGAAGGGACCGTACTATTCGCGGATGATACGACCATTACCAACAGAGGAAATGACATCAAAGATGTGGTACAGAACAATATTTCAACTCAGAGATTGGCCTTTGATTGGCTTCATAGTAATGGACTGGCTATAAATCAAAGCAAGTGTGTGCAAATTATGTTTACTCTCAAACATGTTCCTGATGCAAGCTTGCTGAACATGAAAATATACGAATTCACCAATTTTCTCGGGGTCACCTTTGACTGTCAACTGTTATGGAAACAACATGGTGCCCAACTGTGTAATAAGTTATGTAAGAATACTTTTATCATTCGCAATTTGGTAAATTCAGTGGACGAGGGAACTATACGTTCATCTTACATGGCATTATTTCAATCGCACTTGCTGTATGGCTTGTTACTTTGGGGGCACGCGAGTATTCGTCATGAAGTGTCTGCGCTCCAGAGACGTGTAGTTCGAATAATGTGTGGTCTCAGATTCAGGGATGATTGCAGAGATGCATTTAAAAAACTCAAAATCATGACGTTGCCTAGTTTATTTATTTATCAATGTCTTTTGTACATTAGAAAACACATCAAAGAGTTCAATGCTCACACTGATATCCATCACCATGATACAAGGAACAAAGATAAAATTTATTTGGAAGCCGCGAGATTAACAAGGACACAGGTGGCACATAAATACCATGCAGTTCACTTCTATAATGTGTTACCTACTAAGTATAAAAATCTGGACTTAAATAAATTTAAATTCTTTACTAAAGATTTGCTGTGCAATGGAGCCTTCTACTCTTTTGAGGAATTTTTTAGCTATTTCAGTATGTAAAATGTTTTGTTATTTTAATGTGTGAAATTGTGATAGTTATTTTCACTATGTATAAAACTGTATTTATTTTTGACGTTTGCAAACTTATTACATGTATTTGTAATGTGAAGTGAAGCATGAAAATAAATTATTATTATTATTATTATTATTATTATACCATATTCGTATTCGTTATGTAGTGTACTTCATTTGTAAGAAAAGTTTTTTTATAATTATTTTGATTTATATAACAAAAACAAAAGCTTTCGAGAACGTTTTACTGCTATATCTTAAATAATTTTGTGGATAGTTTTGAGGCTTTAACTTTCTTGTATGTTCTTAAATGACGCTATTTTCATTTATATAAATAAATCAATGTAAACTATATTTCTGCGCCCTGCAGTTTCAGGATTTTAAATGGAATGACCAATAAAAAAAGTTATTTAGAAATACAGGCGAATAAATATGAAATTTTGGAAAAATTAAAATTTGCGAATTTTATTTATCTTTTATGAAAACCCATATAAGTTAAAATAAAGATACTTGCAGGCCGTTAAAGTACAGGTAAAGAAACATGCTATACTTTTGCAAGTTTTCAGAGTATTTAATTTTGTAATTTCAAAATTAAATTGTAAAATTCAACAAGGACTGATAAACCACAAGTACAGGAATACCTTATTTTATACAATTTATATAATAGGAGTATTTATTATTGTAAATTTTGGAGATAATGTCATACCATTGGTGGGGATGATTAGACAATTTGTGGTTAGCATCTTACTTACAACTTCATTAGCAAGTTTTCACACTGAGAAATTTTTATTCTTCCAAATTTTACTTCACTCATTTTTCAAAAGAACTCTGACGCGTAGTTACGTTGAACATCCAGTAGTCATTTCTCACATTTCTTCATCGTAAAGGTTTAAACAGATAGTTAAAGGCACTAGGTAAATGTTAAAATGTTATTGTAACACATATTCGTATCTGCTTTTGCTTTGCTGTCACATAGTCTTATTTACCAAACTATTACTGTTAAATGTAAAATTCACTTCAAAGTCAATCACAAATCGTAATGTTTTTTCTGGTACGAAAACATATTTTTTTTGGTTTAATTATAAATAATGTCAGTCGACAATATGTTTGTGATAAAAATTGTTTAAAACCACGGTTGTATGTGTAGAGTATAGTGCCACAACGGCATCATTCAAGCGACGCACATTTAACTGATGGTTTCATCTCGTTTGAATACACGAAGTTCTGAAATAAATCTACCAACGAGTTTATTAGAACCAATGATCTAATAACTAATGGATGGAATGTTGAGGCGCGTAATCCCGCTCGCATGCGGTGACAACTAGAGAGAGAAATAAACATATCTACAGTGAGTGTTGTTAGACAAGGCCAACACGTATCGGTAGGCAAGAACGAGCTTCGGTGCCGTTGAGTTAAATAGGAGATCATGTAAAAATGATTTTAAAATTCTTTGTTGTCGTTTTTTTTTTATTTTGTAGGACACTGTATATACATACAATACAAAATGAATATAAACACACAATTTATTGAACAAAATTAATTTTGTGTATACCTGTCTGATTTTATTAGGAACTTGACTATTTCTGCTGTTTTCATAATTCAGTCTAATAATAAAAAAATACGTAAAATTACATAGACCAACTGGACTACATGATTGTTAAGTGGATCTTGATCCAAAATGTGGTCATTTAAGACATTAAACATATTTCTGAAATTTAGTAATCTAATGGTTTTAATTGTAACAATATTAATAACATTCGCTGAAATATTATATTTCATAGTTCTGAAAGTGGTTTCAGCTATCTTACAAACTTTGATGACATCAACTGATGGCTTTGTAAGTCCACCTCTCTTTTTTTTAATTTAGCAGTGCCGAAAGAGTCTCATTGGGTCTCATTGTTAGTCAGTTTTCTAGGCCTTGTTTCATTTTTTTTGTTTTGAAAAATTGAAAATGAATGGTACTGCGTCCTTTTTTGAAATTCTCAGTTGTTGTGTGGGATTAACAGAATTTGTTAACGGCTGAAAATTCTCATTTTTAAAATGTTTGCTACACACTCTTGACGCAGACGTCCGAACAAATTTATCTCGTTTAAGTGCAACAATCCATTGCTTTCTTAGCAACAGATTTGTCGGAAAACTGAAATTAAATTAAATAAAGATTGTATGAAAAAATTATTCAGCAGATATCTCACCGATGAAATGAAATATTACAGCCTTTGTGATGCCACTCCTCGCATCCAAATGCACAACAAGATATAACCATCGTGAATATGATTGTTATTATTGCGATTGTAAGAAAACAAGCACTTTAGAACTGCACAGAAATGCCACACACACCAGGAAGTGAGTAATTAAAAGTAAATTTTAACTGGAAGTTGCTCTGCTGTTTTGCCTACCGATTCGGACCTCTCAAATGGTCACCGTACCCTCTCTCTCTAACATCTCTCCAGTCTGAGATCTCTATGATTAGAACAGCCTTTCGACAGCTAAGTTGAGTCAAATAATTAATGTTTGCTTTAAACTGCGTTTAACATCAAATCTATGTTGATACAAGTTAAGGCGATGTTTCAAAGCTAAATATTAAAATTTAAGCAGAAATATACTCTTACGTTTGTAGTTCATATTTCATAAGACGCTACCGAGCTTGTGACACCAGTTCACTGATATTTTACTTTGTAACTTTTTGCAAAAGATTGTATTTTTATACAGGGTGCCGCATCTAAGTTTGGACGTAGGGAATTGGTTTTTATTCTATAATGTCTCCTCAGATGATTTTACTATTGAGTGATGCATTTGTGGAGGTAACAGTGGCAAAAGTGCCCTACAATAATCATCACACTGGATAAAATAAT